GGGGGGGGGGTCTGTTAGACTCCTATCAAGTCCTTGACAAGCTAATCTTATCAACACAAAACAAAAAAATGCCAACTGATGCCACTCGGATTTCCATGGCAACCATCTTTCAGAGTTTTAGAGGCTTCATCTGTTGCAAGGTTGCTCAAAGAGAATTTTAGGAGATTGCAAGCAAGCTATTGACTTGTCATCAAAGGGAGCTTCATCTATTGCTTTAAAGAGACTTGCTTCTTTGCTCAAGATGCGATCAAGCTAAGCAAGGGTTAAGTATAAACTGTAAAGCTGTGGGTGAACCATAAGGCAATAAAGTAGCACATCTTACAGCAGCAAAAGGTTTCAGTGGAGATAGAATTTTTTTTTTGTTGGCTATCCATGGATCAAAAAAAGGATTATACACCTTGTGCTTGTAGTAGTCCTAGATGTCTTGAGTAATGTGTGCTTATACAAGATGCCAATTTGAATAGGAACAAAAGAGTGAGCTTTGATTAATGGCCCAAAAAGCCAAAACCACCTCCCCCTTCTCTCTCTCTCACCCACTCCAAATTTAATGAGTTGGGTGGGTTGGGTCAGGTGGGTTTGGGATCTAATTTGAAATTTAAATTCAATGGGTCATTGGTGGATAGATACAAACCTGCCCAATTGCCACCCCTACATAACAAGATTTTTCACATTTTAATAGATGAAAAGATTAGATATATGGTCTATTTGATGAATTCGTTGAATCATTTGAGGATTTGCCCTTCTGGAAAAAGAACAATCTAGGGAGGTACAACTGAAAAAACAATTTAGAAACACAAGACACTACAACCACAACATAAACAAATATCAGGATGAAATTTGGGTTAGATGAATTGGGAATTTATTATATTTTCATTGGGACCAAACCCTAACCAGTAACCCCAGCCACGTAGCTGAAATTCTTCAAGTCGAAATTGGACTTGCAGACCTAATCAGAATCCTGTATACCTGGAGCACAAAAAATAATCCAATCTTACAACTCTTCATTTATTTATGAACCAGTCTTTCTCATTCACTAACAAAGAGAATTGAACAAGGTTTTCCAAGGGGGTCAGCTCCGAAATGTGCTTGATAATAGCAAGGTTCAAAATTTTGATACAATACGTATCGTATCCTTTGCTCAATATAACCCTATATAGAGGTACTTTTTAAAAACTCTTTTGTTTAGTTAAATAACATAAGAATGGCCTCCCTGTGAAAATATGAGAAGAAAAAAAAAAGAAAAATAAGGTTTTGTCACCCGAAACACCTGATACGTATGTTCATGCACATGAATGCATCAATATTTAAAATCTTGCTTGACAGTATAGTGGAGATTGGGATGAATCCAGAGTGAAGGACAATTTGGTACATATCCAGTGAAGGGTTAGGATCTTGGATTGGACTATGCATTACCTGGTTCATTGGAAACCCACTTCTTCCTGGATTAGTAAATTTTCTGCAGTGAGACCATTGTACTCAATTAATTGTTCTGGCTCGCCTCAGCTGCCGACCCAACAAGCGAAGGCTCACATTTGTGTTCTAACTCCAAAAACATGAAGATCTTTCTCCATCAATTTCCTCATTCCAGTCCATAATTTTGTTGTAAGTAATATTCTGCATCTTCTTGGATACATTCCGTTGTAAAACCTGGGCATATACATCTGAGTCCAAATAATATATGCACATGGGAAGCTCAAGCAGGTGCTACACTATACTGCCTACTTCTACCTGACGCACTGAAGACTTCAACTATGTCGTGCAAATCTGCAAAAGGAGAGACAATGAGGTCATGAATCTTCAGTAGGAGCCACTTCCACAAAAATAGCAAATCACAATCCCTCGATTTATGACATATATGGGCTGTCAATGGGTCAGGCAGATCTGACAGACTCGAACTGCACTGACCAAATTATATAGGGTCTGGGTCTGCAATACACGTGTCCCAATTATAATTGGATATGGATCAGTTTTGGTCGTTCCAGACTGATTAACACCCAAACCAACTAAATATATAATTTTGTATATAATTATGTATATGTATATTGGCATAGTACAAAGATAACCCAGTCTAACACCTAGTTTTCTCTTAACCATAAAAAAATGCCTATTTTTCTTATGATATAGTTGCCATATTATCATATTATGATGTCCAATGTGTCAACAAATAAGTTCATTGTCAAATTACAGGTTAACTGTCTAGCTATCAATTATAAAAGGGTCTTATTGGGCCATACCCAGGGGCCATTGCCCGATGCAATGGTAAAATCTTTGGGTAAATAGATACCCTGTACTTTGGGGGTAGTCTCACTTTAGTGCCTGAACTTTCAGATGTGCCATATTAGTATCCAAACTTCCAGAAATTTACATTTAAGTCCAACTCCGTTAAACTACAGTTACAGTGAGGGGTAAAATTACAAAAATGCCCATTTTTTAATTCTTTTTTATTCACTGTTCATCTTCTTCTACCTTTGTATTTTGAATGCAAACCAGTGGCGACATTTTCATAATTTGCAGCCAAAACACACTTGAATTGAGCATTTATCAACTCTGGTTTGCATTCGAAGTCCAAAGGTAGAAGATGAACCATGAAAAAAAATAGAGAATCAGAATTGAGCATTTTCATAATTTTACCCCTCACCATAATGGTCGTTTAACAGAGTTAGACTTAAATGTATAATTCTGAAAGTTCAGGTACTAAAATGGCACATTTGAAAAGTCCAGGGCCTAAAGTGAGACTACACCCAAAGTACAAGGTCTATTTGCAATTTACCCAAAATCTTAAGACTTGCGAGCATGAGAATGCAGGTTTAGACCTGAGAGTGACCACTTCATGCCAAAAAAAAAAAAAAGAAAACAAAACAAAGGTTAGGACTGTATCCAGTCTACCCTTCCCAAGACATAGTTGGGGCCAACATTGGGTAATGGCCTTTTTTTTTTTGAGAAGTAAAAATTTTCACTAAAGATAAAATAAGAATGCAGAGGGAGAGATTTACTCAACAGCCAGCTACAAGGTAAAAGAACCCAACAGGCTAAACATTACACAATGAAATCATTTTCCCACAAGATAGCATTCCAATGATCCACAAAATGCTTAAACTGAAAACCCCTAAAGATATCACCAATGGATGCCCATTTGATCAGAATTTTTTCCACTTGCAGACTTTCTCTGACGGAGCAGCACAATCTTCAAACAAGTGTTTATTTCGTTCCTTCCAAATGCACTAGCAAACTACCAAGGGTAGACATTCCACAGGACCTTGCCCCTTTTGGAAAATGCCTGCCCCCGCCAAGAGGACAGCAGGGACATCTGGAGAAGTCACCCACTTCATGCCAAAAAGGTTTAGAACATGGGACCACACCTTGGGAGAGAAACTGCAAAGAAATAGATGCTGAGCAGATTCTTCATCCTCCCCGAACAAACAGCAATGATTAACTAGGACCATTCCTTTCTTCCTTAACACATTAATAGTAGGGATTTTACCCTTTGTAACAGCCCAAATAAAGAATATAGCATTTAGAGGAATCCTGAGCTTCCACAACCAGACCCAAGGGAGTGGGGTTCCTTTGAATTTAGCAGAAACTGCAACATAGAACTCACTGTGAAGAGGCCAGAATTCTCTTTGTTCTACCAAATCTTGCCGCTCTCTGTCATCTGCAGCTGGGTTTGTTCTAACCTCTGTAACAAAGTAGCCAGAGAGTCCAGCTCCCAGTCATTTACCTCTCTTCTTAGTCTCAGAACCCACAACTTTATTGTGGATAAACTCCAAACAATCACAGACCCGAGCCTCCTTATCCTGAGCCAAAGCAAAAATTAAAGGGAAGTCCAGGCAAAGGGGGTTGGAACCACACCATCTGTCTTCCCAAAACAAAATTCTATCCCCCAAACCTGGTTTTAAAGAGATACCACTGAAGAACACCTCCCTGAATTGAAAGATGCCCTTCCACAGACTAGTTCCATATGGTTCAGAAGCTGGAGTTTATTCCCATCCAAAACTAGCTTCCTCRTACTTGTTTTTAATTACCTTTTTCCAGTGCACATCACCCTCCGTTACAAACCTCCACAGCCACTTGGCAAGTAAAGCACAATTCACTTGTTTGAGAGGCTTTATGCCTAAGCCCCCATGCTGTTTTGGTTTACACACCTCTGACCAAGCTACAAAATGAAGCTTTTTGTGGTCTTCAGTGTCATCCCAAAGGAAGTCAAGGAAGTCTCTCCTCAGTTTATCAATGTAGCTTAACACAAAACCGTGATCCTAAGCAAAGACAAGAAATAAGTAGGCAGATTATTGATTAAGGTGATCCTTCCCCCTTTAGAAAGGTAAGTCTTCTTCCAGCCAGCCAGCTTGAGTTTTTTTGAGGTTTTTGTGCAGATTTGTGGAGATTAATTAGTTGTTTTTGTTTATTATTTGTTTAGATAGCAAGTGGGGACTGCAGCACTCTTATTGGTACCCTTTGGAGTAGTGTTCTTTAGCTTTTTATGCAGTTTTATGTGTTAGCCGCCCTATAAGGGCATAGTAGTAATTGTACCATTCTTTTAGTTAAAGTATAAATAGCAATGGAGAGGGTGTCCAGATCTATGAAGCTCCCTTCTTTCTCAATCTCCTATCTTCTCTTTCTCTTCTTCCACAAGAAACATCTCTTCTTTTTGCAGGTTTTTGATTCAGCAAATTTCTACTTGGTATCAGAGCAAGACTAGGAATTCTTGGAGTTCTTCCATGCAGTCCTAGATCGACTGACTGCCCAATTCTTAGATTTTTGGTGGGTTTCAGTCATCAAGAGGGTGATCTGTATTTTGGTATCAAAATCAGGAAGAATTGGAGTGCGGGGAAGAGTCCTAGGTAAGATGGACTCTTCAATTTTGACCTGATACTGGGTGATCAGACTTTTCTGGACTTCTGCGAGTTTTCTATAGGGGGCGGTTCAGTTTCTAGCAGTTTCGGAGCCCTCTAGAGAGATCTATTCACTTTTCTCTCTGGTGGGAGAAGGTGGGAGAAACCGTGTAGTTTTTTCTTCCTTCGGAAAGTCCTTATTCCCTTGTGTGTGAGATTGATCTCTTTTAGAAAGCCTTCTACCTAATTATTTCTTGTTTTTAACCTGATTGAAGTTGAAATGGATGGTTGGAGTACTCAGTAAAAGTCCACCGGTAACATGGATCTGGGTGGAGGAAGTATCTCTTTTAGGTATGGGATTATGACCACAGTAAAATTGGATGGTACAAATTATTTAGAATGGGCACATTCATTTAAGATGGCTATTGGTGCTTATGGGAAATTGGGGTACATCACTGTGGGGGAGAAGAAACCTAACACAGATTCCTCTTGGTGGGTATAGGAGAATTACATGGTGATGTCCTGGCTGTGTAATTCTATGTTACCTCACATTGGAAAAAAATTGTGAGCTAATACTACAAAGGAGATTTGGGATGGAGTGACCGAGACCTATTCCCAAAAATAGAATGTAGTTAAAGTCTATTAGTTGAGGAATCAAGTGATTAATACAAAACAGGGAGATAAACCTCTTGCATGTACTTTTCCATGCTAAAAATACTTTGGCAAGAGATAGATCACTTAGAGACTGTGGTTTGGGAGAGTATAAAGGACGCAACAACATATAAGAAGTTGATGGAGAAGAATAGGATCTTTGAGTTCTTGGCTACACTGAACCCCGAATTTGATATTGCTAGGCAACACATCCTTTCTAGAGACAGTATAACTCTTTCTCATGCCTAAGCCTTTGGGTCGAGAGAGGAGAGCATGAGGAATGACATGTTGAGATAGTCTGGGATGACCATTAAGCTATGTTTAGTACAATCAAACCTCAGCCAAATTGAGATAGGGGGAGTAGTGAGATTGGGAGGGAGGATAAGGACTTAGTGTGTGACTATAGAAAGCATATCAGAGATACCTATTGGAAGCTCCATCTACATCCCATACCAGCTCGAGTCAAGAACAAGAAGACAAATGCAAATGTGGCAATTGCTTCGGGACCTCTTACCTAAGTTGACTTGTAGTCCATTGCAATGGCAGTAGTTAGAACTGAGTTGGAAAAGTATGGAAAAAGGATTCGGCTAGTTCTAGTTCTTTAGGCGCAACAAAGTGCAGAAAACCCAAGAGCCAGCCACACTACTTTGCTCATACAAGTAGTTCATATGTGGTTGCAAACTATGCATCCACCTCAGGTAAGGAGGGACCTCCTTGGATCAAAGTTAGTGAGTTAAATTATGCTTTGGTATAATCAGTTCAACCATCTTTCTTCAATTATTGAGATGTTTGTTTCCAAGGTTGTTTGAGTCTATTCAATTATCTAGTCGAAAGTGTGAAGGTTGTCAATTGGGAAAGCATTGTAGACATTCTTTTAATCCAAGTAATAAAAGTTCTTTTGCTTTTGATACTGTTCACAATCAATGATGTATGGGGACTTTATCATATTTCTTCCTTGGGTGGGTACTATTATTTCCTTTTGTTTGTGGATGGTCATACTCGATATTCTTGGATATATTTGATGAGATCACGTGATGAGGTATCTATTTTGGTACGACAATCTTACCAGATGGTTCTCACACAATTTGGGGTGAGGACAAAGTTTTTAGATAAAATAGTGCTAGAGAATATTTTGAGAAGGATTTGGCCACATTTTTTAAAGCATGGGATGAATCATTAGAGTGGTGCTTATACACAACAAAATAGGGTAGCAAAGAGGAAAAATAGACACATTGTGGAGGTGGCAAGAAGTCTTATTGTGTGTGCTTCAATTCCTACTCGTTT